TGTGTTGTATATGTATAGAAGTGTGTGTGTGTGTGTGTGTATGTGGGTTGTGTATATATATTGGTGTGTGTGTGTGTGTGTGTGTGTGTGTGTGTGTGTGTATATTTTATAATATAAATGATGTCGCAGTTGCAACTGCTGCCTGTGGATGGCTCTAGTTTGAGCTGATACAAGGCAAAAGATTTCTTTCTCCCATATTTGGGTCGACAGGGTGCATCAAAAAGCACTCAAGGTAATTCCTCCCCCTGTCTCTTCCCTCCCTGACACAGCAGTCAAAGTGAGAAAGAGCCTGTGGCCTAAGGTTAACACAGCTGCTTAACATGCAGACAGCCCAGGTTCGAATCTCAGAAGGGTATGTCTGGTTGATGAGAACTAAAAAGTTTGAAATAGCTATTCCATTCTCCCTTAATTCTTTGTTAGCAATCTAAATTTTACAATATAGGTCTTGGTGTATTCGGGTCTTTTCCTATATAAGATTGAGACCCGAATACACCAAGACATGCATACCTATACCTGTGAAAAGCTATGAATATATATATATATATATATTTGTAAATTTTCATGGGTATAGGTATGCAGGTCTTGGTGTATTCGGGTCTTTTCCCATGTAAAATTGAGAGTATCTTGGCGAAGTTTCGACATTTTGCCATGATACTCTCAATCTTACATGGGAAAAGACCTATATATATATATATATATATATATATATATGTTTTCTGAGGTTTTCGCGGGTATTTGTATATAGGTCTTTGGTTGTTCGGGTTTTCTCCCGCGTCAGAACACAGCCAAGCTCCCATCCAATCAGTTCATACCCTCACTGGCAGTTAAAAGGAAGAAACAGCTAAAACCACACATTGCTGCTCAAAGCAAGAAGCTAAAATCACCAGCCTGAAGATGACGAATGTGACTTCGTCGAAACGTTGCCAAGACACTTCCAATTTTACGCGGGAGAAAACCCGAACACCCAAAGACCTATAATATAATATATAGATATATATATATATTATATATATACTATATATATTATATATAGATATTCTGAGGTTTCGAGAGGGGGCGGTGTTTGTATTAGGTCTTTGGTTGTTCGGGTTTTCTCCCGCGTAAATTGGAAGTGTCTTGGCGACGTTTCGACGAAGTCCCATTCGTCATCTTCAGGCTGGTGTTTTCAGCTTCGTGCTTCGAGCAGCAATGTGTGGTCTTAGCTGTTTCTTCCTTTTAACTGCCAGTGGGGGTATGAACTGATTGGGTGGGAGCTTGGCTGTGTTTTGATTGGGTGGAGGTGTGTTCTGATTGGTTAGGGGCTTGGCTGTGCTCTGATTGGCTGGGGGGTTGGCTGTGCTCTGATTGGCTGGGGGAGTGTTATGTTTGGTTGTGCTCAGGTTAGTCTGAGTTGCAGAGGGGTTTAAGATTTTGGGCTGCCTTGCTATTTTTTGGCTTCGCGTTTGTGGTCGTGCCTCATTTTCATGGAGGGAGTCAGTTTGCTTCGTGTATGGATTGGAGGGCTTTGAAGTGGCTAATGATGCAGCTCTGGTCTGGCTTCTGGTTTGTGGTCGTGCCTCATCATCGGTGTGGCTTTGGGTTTGCTTTTTGCGTGGATGTGTGGTGGTGACATCCTGTGTGGTTTTTGTGAGTGTGGGTCTGGTATCATTTTTTGTATTATGGAGTCGTTTGTCAATAAGGGCGGGTTTCCAAATGGCTGGTAGGCGGGAGGTATCATCTCGCTTGTTCATGCTGTGTGGGCGTTTTTCTATGCTCGATGGCTTCCTCTGATTATTCCCCTGTTATTAAAATGTTCACTTTTGCATGGTTCTGGTATTTTTAAAGTCAATTTCATGTCTGTGGCTTAAGGTGTTGGACCAGGGAAATGTTTGGATTCTCTTTTTTGACTGAGTTCTTATGTTCTTCAATGCGTGCACTTATTCTTCTGTTGGTTTGTCCGATGTATGTGGTGGGACAAGTGGTGCATGGGATTCCGTATACTCCTTGATTTTCTAATTCAATTTTATCTTTGGGGTTTCTAAGGATGTGGATATTTTTCTGTTTGTGCAGAATGCTGTTTTGATGTTGTGTTTATGGAGGATCTTACTGATTCTGTCTGTGGTGCCTTTTATGTATGGGAGGAGGGCTTTGCCGTTTTCTTGTTCTTTGTCTTGGATTTTAGTGGGGGTTTCTTTTTGGATTAGGTTTGTAATCTTATTTCTATGGAATCCATTGGATGTTAGTACATTGGTGAGAGTGTGTAGTTCGGTTTTTAGGTGTTGTTCGTCAGCTAAGCGTTTTGTTCTGGAGAGGAGTGTCTTGGCTACAGAGTTGATCTGTGCTGGGTGGTGGTGTGAGAGAGCATGTAGATAGCGGTTTGTGTGTGTTTTCTTCTGGTAGATTGGTGTGTCCTAGGGAGCCATTGGATTTCTTGTTCGGGTTTTTCTCCCGCCGGTAAAATGGAAGTGTCTCGGCGACGTTTCGACGAAGTCCCATTCGTCATCTTCAGCTGGTGTTTTCAGCTTCGTGCTTTGAGCAGCAATGTGTGGTCTTAGCTGTTTCTTCCTTTTAACTGCCAGTGGGGGTATGAACTGATTGGGTGGGAGCTTGGCTGTGTTCTGATTGGGTGGAGGTGTGTTCTGATTGGTTAGGGGCTTGGCTGTGCTTTGATTGGCTGGGGGGTTGGCTGTGCTCTGATTGGCTGGGGGGTTGGCTGTGCTCTGATTGGCTGGGAGAGTGTTCTGTTTGGTTGTGCTCAGGTTAGTCTGAGTTGCAGGGGGGTTTAAGATTTTGGGCTGCCTTGCTATTTTTTGGCTTCGCGTTCGTGGTCGTGCCTCATCTTCATGGAGGGTATCAGTTTGCTTCATGTATGGATTGGAGGGGTTTAAAGTGGCTAATGATGCAGCTGTGGTCTGGCTTCTGGTTTGTGGTCGTGCCTCATCATCGGTGTGGCTTTGGGTTTGTTTTTTGCGTGGAGGTGTGGTGGTGACATCCTGTGTGGTTTTTGTGAGTGTGGGTCTGGTATCATTTTTTGTGTTAGGGAGTCATTTGTCAATAAGGGCAGGTTTCCAAATGGCTGGTAGGTGGGAGGTATCATCTCGCTTGTTCATGCTGTGTGGGCGTTTTTCTATCTCGATGGCTTCTCTGATTCTTCTGTTATTAAAATGTTCACTTTTGGCAATGGTTCTGGTATTTTTAAAGTCAATTTCATGTCCTGTGGCTTTAAGGTGTTGGACCAGGGAAGAAGTTGGTTCCTCTTTTTTGACTGAGTTCTTATGTTCTTCAATGCGTGCACTTATTCTTCTGTTGGTTTGTCCGATGTATGTGTTGGACAAGCAGTGCAGGGGATTTCATATACTCCTTATATTTGTTTTGGATAGTTGTCAAGGCTTCTAAGCATGAAGCCGAAAACACCAGCCTGAAGATGACGAATGGGACTTTGTCGAAACGTCGCCAAGACACTTCCAATTTTACACGGAAGAAAACCCTAATAACCAAAGACCTACATATATATGTATATTATATATATGTATGTATGTATGTATGTATGTATTTAGCGTTACCTCCTCAGAGGCTGCCAAAGCCCAGGCCCTCTCAGCCCCACCCCCCTTCATCAAACTCCGCTGCTGTATTCTCTAGGGGTTGGTAAGGTATCTCTTCTAATCGGAGCTCAGGCAGAGTTAGGAAGTAGCAAGCTCTTGTCATCAAGAAGGGGCTTCCAGGAACAAAGATGACCAGCTCCCCCCCAGCCCCAATAGTCAATGCTGTGATGGTATCCAACCGGCCAAGGCTGTTGTAGCAGCAATAGTTAATGATTCCTCAATGACCGTTCAAGATCAAGTGGGGTGGAGGAAAACCCCGGCTCCAGGCAGTAGTAGAAACAAAAGCAGTCAACATGCTATAGTAATGGCTTGCCCCCCCCTCCCCACAAAGTCTAAAACATGTACAAGCAACAGTAGTCACAGGCCAGGTAGCCTCCAGGCTTCACAGCAACAGTAACTACGACCAGTCTCTCCTCTTCTTCTGTTAATTCTTCTCAGTCAGGTCTCGGCATCAAAACCCTCCCCCCTTATCTTTATTGTTAAAAGTCCCAGGCTAACAGCCCCAGCCACTTCCTTTCCACACACTCTCTCACACCTCTGTTTGAGATATCCTTTTACGAAGGAGAGCAATAAAATTCCACTCCCTCTCTCACTCTCTCTTGCCTCTGTTTGAAACATCCTTCTCATGGAGGAAAGCAATAAAATTCTACTCCCCCCTCTCTCTTTCTCTCTCCCCCTCCTCCACACAAAGGGGTCAGCTTAAAACCTCCAATCCCTCTTTACTTTCACCTGATGAATTCCAACAGCCACCCCTTTCCTTCCTTCCCTTTTTCTATCCTTTCCCTTCATCCATCTCTGCCACACCCAAAACCATCAGCAGCTGTCCCAATCTCTCCCTTCCCAGCCAAACTCCTGCAAACACTCTAAGACAGGCCCGCTACATACATTCATTCATACATACATACATATATTTAGATTGCTAACAAAGAATAAAGGGAGAACTGGAATAGCTATTTCGAGCTTCTTAACTCTCTTCAGCCAGACATACCCTTCTGAGATTCCAATTAGCTATTCCAGTTCTCCCTTTATTCTTTGTTAGCAATCTAAAAAAATGTATATGTAAATGATGTCACAGTTGGCGACTGCTGCCTGTGGATGGCTCTAGATTGAACTGATACAGGCAAAAGAAAAAAGAAAAAGAAAGAAGATTTCTTTCTCCCATATTTGGGCTGACAGGGTACATCAAAAAACACTCAAGGTAAATCTCCTCCCCCTATCTCTTCCCTCCCTGATACAGCTGACAAAGTGAGAAAGAGCCTGTGGTCCAGAGGTTAATACAGCTGCCTAACATGCACACAGCCCAGGTTTGAATCTCAGAAGGGTATATCTGGCTGAAGAGAGTTAAGAAGCTCGAAATAGCTTTGCTATTCTTTGTTAGCAATCTAAAAAAATGTATATTTTTTATGTACCATCCAGCTGCTGGTACAGAGCAGATACTCTTTTATTCTATATCTTCGCGGGGCCTATCTTCACTGTTCTCTTGGTAAGAACTTATTACAATGATTTCATTGCCAAATATATTTTTTCCTACTTTTATGCCAAATGTTGATCTATGTTTATCTATGAGCTGCAGTGGCTCAGTGGTTAGAAGGCAGTATTACAGGCTAATTCTGTTGACTGCCAGCAGTTCGATCCTAACCCGCTCAGCCTTCCATCCTTCCGGGGTCAGTTAAATGAGGATCCCAGATTGTTTGGGGCCATAGGCTGACTCAGTAAACCTCTTAGAGAGGGCTGTAAACCACTATGGAGTGGTATATACATCTAAGTGCTATGTGCTATTGCTATGTACAAGGAGGAGGCTGACTCACTGCACAGCTAGGCAATAAATTCAGTGCATTATAAAAGTAATATGGAAATTCATCTAAATATAGAGTTGCTATAGGATATTGGACACTGACACATGCGTCACATCAATCCTACAGCAGTGAAAAAGTAAAATGTAATGGTTAAAAATCAAAGTCTACCAGAGCATTGCGCCTGAGCTTGCTGAATCTCATACCCTTTCTTCTTCTGCACACATGCCATAAAGTTAGAGGGAACAGAACAAAAGATCACTCTTTTTACACACACACATATATAAATTAATTCCTGTGTGTCTGGCATCGTTCAGACTGTATCACAGCTATCAGCTGATGGAAGCCAAAAAAATGACCAGTCATCATAATACGACTACACTTGACTTGTAATGTAAAAACTATTGTTTAGTTGTTTGTTTTTATCCCACCTTTATTATTTTTATAAATAACTCATAGTGAATGTACTACTCCTTCCTCCTTCTATTTTCCACAAAACAACCACCTTCTGAGGTGAGTTGGGCTGAGAAAGAGTGAACTGGTCTAAACTCTCCCTGCTGGCTTTGAGACCTAAGGTGGGACTAGAACTCATGGTCCTAGTTTCTATCCTGGTGCCTTAATCATTAGATCAAACTGGCTACCACGAACTATCAAGAATAAATGTTTGTTTATTATATCTAAACAATGATTTTAGGACTAAAAAAAGGATCAGTAAATTGTTTTATTATTAAATACATTGAAAATTGTTTTATTTATTTATTAATTTCTTTACTTGTATAAACAATATAGTCAAGCCACCATTTAAGTGGGAGCTAAAATGCAAGCCCTGAGGGTTATTCTTTATTAAGAAGGAAGTAGAAAGAAAATTAGTTACAATTAGTGAAAGGCAGGTATGATACTGCAAATTAAATCAGAAGCTGGATATGCTAAGTAAATTAGGTTAAATCCTATGTAAAAGGAGTAAAGATGGCTTTACTGTTCTTCAAACATGAGGTTTTGATTATAGGTTTTATGAATTATTGGTTGATTTTGTGCAACACCCAATTTTTGGATATTACTTATTGGATGTTAAATATTACTTAGAGGACACTTTCTCTTTTCCCACCCCTTTCTGAATATTTTGTATAGTCCAAAACACTTTTCTGAATTTTATTTTTATTTTTTTAAAAAAATAACCTTGAAGTGCTTATTATGCTAGAAACATATAATGAAACAGAAGAAAGCTAAGCAAGAAGAAAAAGCTGTTTTAATGGTGGTAGCATAGTATTGAATTCAGTAATTCATTTTACCTATTTAGACAAAGTTCCTTTAAGGCAGACATTGGGGATTTAGGCCTGAAAGTCTCCGTTGATGTTTTTACTGTCAAATTGCATGAAATTTCTTTTTCAAATGTGGATGTGGTTGGCATGAAATTAACAATTTCTATTTTTTTTTCTATAGGTGAATTTACTGATCCTGATAAGGATCATTTACATTGTCATAAAGAAGTTGAGAGCCAGACATCTTAAAAAATCTATTCAGTACCTGAAAGCTGTGAGGGCCACCTTCATTTTAGTACCACTCCTCGGCATCCAAATCCTGTTGGCTTCCTATGAACCAAGTGGCAGAACTAGCAAGGAGATTCATAAATATGTGCTCCATATTTTTATATATTATCAGGTATCCAGTCTCTTGAAATATATGCAGTTTACAAGGATTGCTAAGGAATGTTGCAGGTATAAACAATGGACATATTTTAACCCATTCTTGATTTCATATCAGTTTCATCAAATGCATTCACATTGTTTCCCTTTCATTTGTGCAGATTTTAATGAGGGCTAAGCTGACATGGGTGTTAGTGGGAACTTCACTGATATTTGAGAATTATATATGTTCAAATTTAATAATTTGCTAACAGTATTACAATATGAATAATTTTAACCAATTTCAGGATAGTGGAAACATTTGGATCATATGTGTTCAAATCTAGGCTGCTTTTGACAGCTGGAAACATATCTGCTAGTTAATACACTACAAGGCATATCATTCAATTTCATGATTTGGAACCTTGTTAAAATAACCTTTCCTCTACAAATAAAACCAAAGAAATGTTGAGAATCATTGTAGTGTAGTGACTAAGTTACTGGATTAAGAACAGAGAGACTAAGAACCAAGGCACAGAAGTTAGTTGGGTGCTGGTAACTTATCTCAGCCCTAGACTGAGAAAAACCTTTACCATCCTATACTCGACCAATGGGATAGATTATGCTTCATAAACCCATAAATTTCAATGAAGGTGCCTTAATTCTTCAGTGGATTGATATCTTAGGTTTGTCTATCTACCATTTTTCTCCCTCCCTTGCTCTTGCACTCTTTCATCATCTAACTATCTACCTAGCTATCTTTCACAGGGAAGATCAAACCTGTTTGTACCAAAATGGTATGATGGAATTAGTTCGTGCTGGTTCGTAATAGCTAACTGTCAAATTTTCAATAATTTTCTGAGCAGTTGAAAACAGAGCTTTTATTTTAATATTTTGAATACAATTAGTGTGTGTGTGGATACAGAGAAATAGAGATAGAGATAGAAGAGATAGTAAAAATAAAGAGACAGAGATAGTGAGATAGCAAGATAGAGATAGAGAGATAGGTAAAGATAGTAGAGATAGTAAAGATGAAGATAGCGAGATAGAGAGGTAACGAGATAGAGAGAGAGAGAGAGAGGTAAACATAGTAGAGATAGATAGATAGATAGATAGATAGATAGATAGATAGATAGATAGAAGATAGATAGATAGATAGATATAGGGGGAGAGAGAGAGAGAGAGAGAGAGGGAGATGATAGAGCTCTTTGGCTGCTCACAAGCATGATAATGACAATTGGGCTGGCAGAACTGGTTGTTATTAGCACACCACTGGTCCCATTTTGCCTGCAAAAGCTTGATTTTTTTTAAAAAAAAATGTGATTACCCCATTTAAATAGCTTGCAGTTCTGCAGGGGTCTCAATCCATAGTTTAAGTAGTACAGCACCAACGATTACCTTCATGTTTGGATGGCATTATTTTAGAGGACAATTATCCTACCAGCTATAGCTTTGGAATCATATTCTTATCATCTTTTTTTTTCTTAGAGACATTTGGTTAAATTATTGAATTAGGGCCAAGAAAAGTGAGCCTAAAACTGAGGTCCATTATCAGGAGAGGAAGCTCATTGGATGATTTGGGGCCATTTGCAGTCTTTTTATCCAATGTATTGCCTGTGTTACATTGTAAGGAAAAAAAATGAAGGGAAGGAACATGAAGATGTCTCTGTAGCCCTGAAATAAATCTTTCTCTTTTTGCAGGGTTTGTTATTGTCAATAATATTATGCTTTTCTGATAAAAAGGTAAAATGTTTTTCTCTTTTAAAAAATTTTTTCGGACTGACTTAGGTTTGAAATTGCATCTAGCAAGTGGTTAAGAATAGGCAAGTTAATGCTTAAATGCTGTCACAGAGAAATAGAAGAGGAATAGTGTCAACCCTATCAAATCATATTAAACTAGAGCAGTGGTTCTCAACCTTTTTATACCGGCGACCCTGGTCATAAGCACGCGCCGTGCATGTGCGGTGCGCCGCGCATGCGCGGTGCTGCCCCCGGCGGCGGCAGGCAGGCCCGGACGCTCCCGGGCGGCCGCGGCAGGCAGGGCGACCACCGGCTGGGCCACAGCTGGCCCAGCACAAGGCAGGTAAGGCACCCACTGGGCCCCACGTGTGCCAGCTACCCTCCCTGCGCCTGCCACTGCCCCGCTAGGCTTACCTTGGCCCCCGGCCGTTCGGGGCGGTGGCAGGCAGGCCCAGGCGCTCCTGGGCGGCCGCAGCAGCAGCAGCGCAGGGCGACCACCGGCTGGGCCACCAGCTGGCCCAGCCCAAGGCAGGTAAGGCACCTGCCAGGCCCCACGCGCACCAGCAACCCTCCCTGCACCCACCAGCCTCCCACCTCCCACCCCCAGCCCTCTTTTACTTACTTTTTAGTTGCTCAACAGGGAGGGAAGCTCTGCAGACTGTTCCCCTTGCAGCACCGTTTGCAGACTGGGGCTTTTGGCGGGCTCAGCAGGGCAGAGACAGCCCTGGACAATTCCTATTGGCTTTTGAAAGACAATAGAATTAGACTCTGTTCAAGAGAGTCTATTCTATTGGCTTTCGAAAGCCAATAGAATAAGAGGGAGTAGCACAGCTAAGGAAAAGGGGAAAAATGGCGGATCGCATTGTTTGGCGACCCCCGTGAAATGGTCGTTCGACCCCAAACTAGAGGGTTCAGCTTGTGATGTGAAATCAATCAGTATACTCCCCAACACTTGATAATCTATACTGGCTGAAATAATGCAGAAGAAAGTACTCTAAAGATGATAATGTATAGCTTATATGTGACAGTATATGCAGACAACAATTAAAGCTATGAGAAAAGTTTTCTTTTGTCACTGCATTTTTCATAGTATGATATGACCATAAATGTATTTGATTCCAGTGATGTTCTGTGGAGCCAGTCTGGCTGTTCAAAATTAATTTAGCAACTAATAAAAAAAAGGTTCTAAGAAATCTGTCTTTACTTTTTGTCTATATTGTTCTCATAAGAAATCTGTTCCATACAATACAACCATTTTTTCCCTTCTTTTTTCTTGAAAGGTTCATTCTGTTTTCAGAAAGCTATGGAATCGATTCCAAGCATCACTTTAAAATCAACATTCCGCTTAATGCAGACAACTCTGAACATCTGGATGGAGCCACAACAGATAATGTTGCTTTAAAAAAAAACTTTTTGGCCAATTGCAATACACTCTGTGCAAGTAATATCCTGTTGTTGCTTTTTAAAGAAATCATTCATTACAATATTATATTCTTATAAGAAACAGAGTTAAGACTGTAATAGTGTAAATATTGTAAAAACAGAATGCAAAATGTATCAAGCTGTTTGGTGTATTGGTTAAGGTCTAGAAACTAGGATACTATCAGTTCCAGTCCCACCTTAAGCATGAAATTTGACTGGGTGACTTTCAACAGTCCCTCTCTCTCTGTCAGAACCCATATTCTAAGGGGGCCTTTCCTATCTTTAACACAATCTCTACTCTCTCTATAATCCTGGGTTCTGCCATGCTCCTGGAGAGGAAGGGGAAAGCTGGGGTTTATTGCTCTGTTTCCCTTCTATTGCTACACTGTAACACTTTGTTGTTTCTGCATACTTCCCTTGTGAACTATCTCTCCCCTTGATGTCAGCTAGAAAGGGGAGGAAGAAGAAAGGAATGCGCCTCCGGCACTGGTTTATCTCCACGTTGAAGGGAAGATATGAAAGCCGACATAACATTGCTACAACCCTGAGACAGCCTGGCATTATCAGCTCTTTCCCACAACACCTGGGGATTGGCCCATGTGAACTGACCGGATGAACCTTTGGGTTGGGGTTTGTTTGGGACACTTTTAACCTATTGATCTGAGCAGAAAACCCTCAGATCCTGTCTATCTTGCCTGCTATCAGCTTCTCCTAATAAAAGTTCCTTTTGGAAGAAACTGCTTCCATGAGTTCTGCTTCCTTAGGATGAGGTTTTGAAGTGGGCCCTGACATTAGACAAGATCTGCAGTAATAGTCAGCCCGGAAGGAAAGCCCTTTACCGGGGGACATCACAAACCATGTCAGACAATGGAATAGGGAGAGAGGAACCTGCCGCAAAGGGGGACCCTTCCTGCTGGGCAGACACCTGCAAACAATCCAGTTCTGAGTCCTCCAGCTCATTGGAAGAAGAGGTAGTGATAGATCGCTGCCACAAGCCTAGATGGTCAATGGGTGTTGGAAAGAAGGATGACTGGGAGAAGAAGGAAAGAAAGGTGACACTCAGATGGGGCAGTCACCAACCAGGCTGAAAGGAGGAGATGGACAGATCCCTCCATCTCAGCGAGGATGAGGAGGATTGCTTGGGGCATTCCAGCTGGCTGCTAGAACAGGCAATCAGCATGATGAAGATAGCCCTGGACTCCCTGAAGGAAGAGAAAGCCGAGCCCTATTGAGGCACCATCCGCCTGGGTTGCAGTAAGAAGGAAACCACAGGGGAGTCTGAACTCAAGGTCCCAGGGCCAGCCGATGGAACCACCAACGTGCTGCAGTCGCCACTGGTGTAGCTACCCCTCGTCGTGTGGAAGCTGCAGAGAGAGAGGGGAGATGATATAAACAGGAAAAAAGGCAACGCTCCATCCAGAAATTCCCTCCACTAGATGTAAAGTTCCGTGGAGAGCCGCAACGCCTAAGATTCTTCCTAACCAGGTGCTCAACTACATGGAGGAATAGGCCAGGACATCCTCATTGAGTGCACCAGAATTCCCATCGTGCAAGCTGCCCTGGATGGCATCACAGCGGACTGAGTTGTAGACCTCTACAGTGCTGACATCCCAAAGCTACTGAATTTCAACCCATTCATGTTCTCCCTCAGGCATAGGTCCGAGGACCCGCTGGCAGATCGGAAGGCCCGAGAGTGGATCAAGACGGTAAAACAAGGCAGACAGCCAGTGGCAGAGTACACCCAGGAGTTCCAAACCGTGGCCAGCAAGCTAAACTGGCCAGAAGACATCTTGTTAGCCACTTCAAAGATGCCTGGCTGAGGAATTCTGGGAATTGAAGTCCACAAGTCATAAAAGGGCTAAGTTTGAAGACCCCTGCTCTAAGAGAAAGGGACTAAGAGAGGAAAGGTCAAGAGGAAGTCCCAATGGCTAGATTAATATGAAAAAGGCAAGTCTTGTTTTGTCTTCTATACAAATAATTATATAAGTATGTAGCATTGTGGATAATTAGTTATACTACTTAGATTTGAATGTACATTTTTCTAAATTAGCACACTTAACCAGTGTTTCCTGAACGGCTATTGACAGGGATGAGCCAATGCTGGTGTGACTCCCTGCTTAGACTTTTTCTTAAAGTTAGGTTAGTGACAACCTCTTAGTTTCCTTACTATTAAAACATGATTGTGTGAACAATTGAAAAAAAAATCTACCCTGATGGCATTTGACAACAATTTAAAGGAATAAGATTGAAGCGTCTAATGATTGTCTTCCTACAACTCACCCGTGATAAATTTATGATCCTTGATTTGTCCAAAATATATACAATTAAAGAGACTAATTCTTTCCTATGGCCCACTAAAAATTGCTTAGGATTTCATTTTAAACATTAAAAGTTCACATGCCATCTGCCAAGGATACCTATCCTAATCCCAAAAACAAACATTAAAGAACCCTTTGACTTACTTTAGGGCTGTTCCCTGAGTAGTAGCAATAAAGGATATCTTCTGACAAGCAAGAGTCACAGCCAAACACAGTCAGAGCAAAAGTTGGGACTTTGGACTCAAGGCAATTCATCACCATAATTGTTAAATCCTTCAATATATCTCTGCATCAGTGCATTTTATAAATCGTTTTGCCTTTAACCTGCCCTCTTCAGAGCTCACAAAATGGTGGTAATTGATTTGTTCTCCTCAGAGGCAGACTGGAAGCCAGCAAAGATGTTTAAGCTACAACACCATGTTTACTGTAGCAAATAAAGCTTCCGTTTATTTAAATATTTAAATTTAAATATTCAAGGCAATGCAAAATGATTAGTATAAGTTCAGTATCACAAATGCTATATAAATCAACTGCTCTGCTTTTAGTTCTATGTTCTTATTGTTTAATTGCTCTTATTATACTATTTTTGTGAGAAGTCTGCCTTCACATTTTTCATTTACTGCCTCGATTTCAGGGTGAAGGACAGAATTTAAAAAAAAATGCACCACTAGTTATGGTTCTTCAACTTTTGTTTTTTCTCCTCCTCCCAAAGCTAATTTAAAGCAGCCAATTTCATAGAGAAGTCCTATAAATATACAACCTACTTACAATTCTCCAACAGAGTTTGCTAGCTATGTTCCTGGAATTCTTCCTTTGTTTCTGCCTGATTTTTAAAATTGTGATACAGCTATTGCATCCTAAATAGAATTCCTGTGTCACATTAAATATGGTCTGTCTTAGAGCATGTACCAAAGCATTTCTCTATAACTTTATATCCCTTATATTCTTTTGCTAATAAACCTAAATCTTAGAGCAATTGCTGTGATATATTCAGATCATGGGGAATTCTTAACTAATTTTCCTTACTCCAGTTTATTACATTGATCCCCCTAACCAAAATAAAATAATCATGAATGCTGAACATCTGGTGGAGCTTGGTAAGCAGAAAGATGGGAGCAGAGAGAGTTATAGTTCTCCAAGTATATTCCTTCTCCTCAATGAAGAGATGTTCTCTTCAAAAACAATAGGTGGCTTGATCCTTGATGTGATTTGTACATCACATGTACATGTGATTTGTACATCACATGTACAAATCATAAAAATAGCATTGAAAGTAACCCATGCAGCTAACTATGGTATTAACTCTTTTAATTCATACACAGAACCACAAACACACAAAGAGAGATTAATATGTGTCATCATTTTTAGAAGTGTAGTCTGCACTCAACGGATTTATGGATTATCCTTCACATAAAGGAGAAAATTTATTTTAATGTTAGGAATATTTAGCTAAACATATTATAAGCACACCCAAACATACATACTGTAGACATGGTATTAAATATGAAAAGAATTTTGTTTGGGAAAATGTATTCTTCCCAATAATTTCTATCTTTAGAGTTTTTAAAATACAGACAGAAATATATTGATATTGAAAAAGCTAAGGTGTTTAAGGAGGCACATTGACAATGCCTGTAAACTCCAGCCCCTGGTGAAAATAAGCCGCCTTAGAGATGAAGTATTCGTAATGCCTAGAGTTGTAACAATTTAGAGTAGATTTTAGAAGATTAGAGTTAAACTTGACTTATAGCCTTGAGGAAAGTGTCACATCTTAAACACTTTCCAAAGACCTGCAGCACTGGAGCTATTGTATGTTAGACACATCTCCAGGAGCTTAAAAGGAGTTTTTTTTTCACTGAAGGATACCAGATTGTGCTCTCCGTTTTGGAGAGTATGGACCTCCAACAAACATCCTTCAGAACAAGTGGTCCCACAAATAATCGAACCATGTAGGATTTTGAAGGTGCTGATCAGCACACTGATTTGCCTCCAGAAACCTATTGAGAGCTGGTGCAGCTTGTAGAGTAGAAGTGTCATATGGGTATAATGAGATATGCCCATATGTATCAATATTGCTGCATTTTGCAGATGGTCTTCAAGGACAGCCCCATGTACAGCATGTTATAATAAGCCAATTGGGAGGTGACTAAAGCATGAGTAATTATCACTGGGCTTTCTATCCATGATCAGGTGCAACTGGTACATCAAGTGAAGTTATATGAAGGCTCCCCTGTCCACAGCTACCACTTACTGTTCAAGCGGTATCTGTGAGCTCAGGAGAACCCCAAAGCTGCACATTTCTCTTTCCCTGGGATAAATTTGCTGATATGGCTTCTCACATCTGTTGCCCACAAGTGGGTGGAGAATTTAAGGAGGCCATATATGCACTGATCTAGCTAATAGAATGTCCAAACTAAACAAAGTACAAACTTAAGTATCAAGACATTGAATATTACATATTGCATACAGTACGAAATCAGTCCATCTTGTTTTCATGCTTCTGAGCTGAAGATTGTTACAATCAGGGCTTTTTTTGTCATAGAACGCCCAGAACGGAATTCCAGCACCTTTTTTGGATGGAACCTTGTAGGGTAGGCAAGGCGGGTTGTATGACATGGGTGAGTTCTGGCACTTTTATTTTATTTTTTACAAAAAAAGCACTGGTTACAATCTAATCTTATCAACAAACTAATGGAAGAAATAAATAGTGGTATCCACACTGCACAAGCATACAATTAAATTGAATCTAATGGTGGATGAAAGTTTCATAGGTCCACAGAATATTAGTTGAATGGGTTTATTTGGACCATTAGTTCAAATCAAATTTATTATAACCTCAAGGACAGATACAAAAAAGTACCACATCCATATATGTATGTATGTATGTATGAATGTATGTATGTATGTGTGTATGTATATGTATATATACCACATCCTTCTATATATATAAGTATATGTGTACTAGAGAAAAACAATAAGTATAAGTCTAAAGATAATTAAGGGCATGGTTACTAAAACAAACCTCAATAAAATATGGTTACAAATTCCAATTCTAAATAATGGTATGGAGTATCATACAAATGGTAGCACAGAACTGGGCAAACTGAGAGGTTACTTTTGAATCCTTGCCTGAGAGCAGTAGCATTAAAGAGAAATTATGTTCTTTATCTGGAAATTTCTTCAAGACAGGGTCTGTATATAAGGGTCTGTATAGAGGCCTTATATAGGGAATAGTATAGTAGTATATGACCTAGAATTTCTATTGAACCATCGCCAGATGGATATAACCAAAAATGCATAGGAATATCCTTAAAACGTCTAAAACGGACTGAAGGCAACCTGGCTAAAGTAAAGTTCTTCCAAAATTTTAAAATTGGAATAAATAAATA